TGAACTACTAAAAACATATATATTAAAATTGAACTACTAAAAACATATATATTAAAATTGAACTACTAAAAACATATATATTAAAATTGAACTACTAAAAACATATATATTAAAATTGAACTACTAAAAACATATATATTAAAATTGAACTACTAAAAACATATATATTAAAATTGAACTACTAAAAACATATATATTAAAATTGAACTACTAAAAACATATATATTAAAATTGAACTACTAAAAACATATATATTAAAATTGAACTACTAAAAACATATATATTAAAATTGAACTACTAAAAACATATATATTAAAATTGAACTACTAAAAACATATATATTAAAATTGAACTACTAAAAACATATATATTAAAATTGAACTACTAAAAACATATATATTAAAATTGAACTACTAAAAACATATATATTAAAATTGAACTACTAAAAACATATATATTAAAATTGAACTACTAAAAACATATATATTAAAATTGAAAAGAATTTATATAATAAAAAAGATTATAATATTCCTTACATGTATAGGAACATTTACTACAGAAATAGTTCTTCTGTCAATACTCTTATCGCTGTAATAATAAGTACAAGCATCATTTTCTTTTCAAGAAGAGAAGTGATTTGTAACTGTTCGTTCTGCTTCCCCAACAATCGTCAAACAGCAAACGTGCTTTTGTTCTGATGAACAAGAGATTTTTCTCACAAATAAACCTACACAAAAGGTACACTCCGATTTCTTTCTTGGAATTTGGCACGAATGTACAAGTACAAAAAATATTTATGACGTTTCCAGATGAGCACGGGACAAAGGAGCTGAGGTACAAAGAGGGCTACATATTTTTACGCGAAAACAAGAATTTTGTTATTTTTATCATGTTATAATTTTTAGAAACGCAAGAACCTCAAAGAATGAGTCACATGATATCGAATAACTCGATCATTCGTTAGGACGGGAGAAAGCCTCTTTGGTTACCGAGCAAGCAACAAGAAATACAACAGCGATATCGAGAAACAAAGACAAAATATCGTCGGCGGAGCGATTGTTTGCTTGTCGTTTCTGTTCTCGACGCGACGAGAAATTCGAGATCTTCGCAGTTGTCTCACCGACTCTTGCCAGTGTTTCATGGTCGTGTTGAATTTCCCTAACCTTACACACAATTTCCGCACAGGCTTCCGCGCTTCCAGTAACAGATAGCGAAGACTTGGAGACCACCGAAAACATCTGCGAGAAATTCGCTCTCTCGCTCGCCAAGTCTCTCGCAGTTAAAAGCCAACGGGCAATGTTCACATGGAAATGCGAAAGATACATTCGAGATGCCGGGCCGCGGGAAATTATAGCCGCTACGCCTATATCAAACAGATTGATACCGTCTGCCGGAGTGCACGATAACGAGAAACGAGGTCAATTGCTCGTTTCGTCAAAGAGCAGATTGGGTGAGTGTTCGTATGGCTTACATTTGGTATTGGCCATCGTTATGACCCACAATTCTAGTTCGCGCGCGAGAGGGAGCCATCGACAGCACCGGGGAGATAGCAACACGCGCGAATAAGTAATCAATGCTTAAAAGTTAAACAAGCGAAAAAGAATATTCAGTACAATTGCGCTGAACTCGCTCTAGAAAGTCGCTCTTATCTTGTGTTATAAGTAAGGTAAAAATGCCCGGACACGTAATACCCAACTCTGGACATTCTTATTGTTTTTGCGTTTAAACACGAGTATATTTAAGCTTTCACAAGTCGCAATTGTTCGTTTAATAAAATCGCAGCGCGTGTCAACAGATGCGCTGTCGAGGTAAACATGGCGATCAAAACGCAAAGACGCTCCTCGTGTAAATGGCACAACGTTGAAATCCTCCGACGTTTCACTTAATATCACAGACTCTTCGTGCAGCTGCGCGCTTGCAAAATTCATTTCCCTATCGACTGTTTGTTTTGCGCGCTCTCGGCCGACTCCATTTTAGCATCAATCGAGGAGGTTCACCCTGTTGTCTATTTACGAGCGCGTTACGCGCACGAGCTGCGTTTCCGTTACGCCGGGAGGTAAATCACGGTTCGCGCGCGTTAACGTTCGCAATCTTGCTCTGGACGGGCAACCGCGGTATTAGCGAACTTGCACGCGCCACGTTCTCGTGTCCTGCGTCACATGTCAAATGGTGTAAACCGTGCTTTCGAACATCCAAACTAAATGCCGCGCGCATGGTGGAGTTGCTCTGTCAGGACGTATTGTATGTGTGCGTGTACGTGTGTGTTTACGTCCACACGATTGCCGAGTCGTTAGTACTAGAATTTCTGGATTTAAAAAAAAAAAACTGAAGAGAAAAGAAAAAAAGCAGAGTCGCTAAAAACGAGTTAAACTGTATATCACGCAGAAAAATATACTGAGAGAATTTTTTACAAAAATTACTACAAATTCTTGTAATCGGAAAACAGATTGACATTCTGCAGAAAGTATTTATTATTTCACTTCATATGTCTTATATTTACGAAGTAAGCTACTTATATTTTAGGACACAATTATTTTAGAAACTGAATTGTGGTGTTAGAAAATTTGCTATGTGAATGTTATCTTGCGTCGAAGAGATGTTCTATCCCAATAGACTTGATGAGTTTTACGTTCGTTAAATATTAAATACGAATACGAACGCAAACTACGAACTGCCGAACCCGTCTAGATCGAGATTCGAACTAACTCGCTTCGGACTCGGCTCGCGCGAGTGAGACATTTTCTTGCGACGCGTTTGGCATCTCCACCTTCAACGGCAACTTTTAATCGCGAAGATGCGGACTGTCGGATACGCGGCACGTTGCACTTGCAAAGTGGCGCACGTGCAAGTCCATCGTGGCAGTCGCCAAATAACGGATTCAGGAGAGACGACACGGGGGCATTTATACGCCCGATGTAAATTCTGTTGTTGTTCCTGTAAGTATGCACTTCTCTTGCCATCCACTCCTACGACGTTGTACGTCGCCCGGCCTGACAAGGAGAGAACGGCGTAGATAGGATGGAGGAGAGAATGTGCTGTATTCAAAACAGCTCTCGCGTGAAGGAAAGCTTGCTTTATATTTTCCTCAGCGCAGCGCGTATGTCTCTTTAGCACGCTGAAAAATTATCGCGACTCAAAAGTGTTCTCATTTCGTTTAATCATGGCTCGCTCGCACGCACACTCCTGCCCATATAAAACTGACCATTGTCTAAATTGTTGTTTGCAGAGTTGCGAGTAAACGTGAGACACACGAAAGAAATTAAAACTGTGCACCTTTTACAGGGGTTTTAAAGAGTTCTTTGAAAAAAAAAAACTTTGAATCCTTTGTTTTGATCAAATAATTTCTTTTTTATATTTAAAATTACCTTTCTCTCTTTTTATATTATATATATATTTTTATATTATATTATATTATTTATATATTTTTATATTATATTTGACTTTATTAGATTGTGTAATAAGTAATTTCGAATTTTTGTAAGATAAGATTTTTTTTAAGATAAAATAAAATGATTGTATTTTTATATCATTAAAGTCATAAAATAGCGTATTTTTGATCTGTGATCCTCTATTATCTCTCTCTTGTACTTTATAATATGATAACGACGAGGAAATATCACTCAATTTCACCTGAAAAATTCGAAATAACTTATTACACACAATCCAATATTTTCCTTTCATATCTAAAATTATTTTTTTCTTTTCTATTTTTGACGACTACATCCATAAATCTATCACTATCCGTTTTTAAAAAAAGCGTCAATTTTTTTTATTCGGATATAAACTTGTTCTCTGAAAAGAGTTTATCGGAAACTTCTATCATCTGGAGGGCATTTCGCGAAATCCCGATTGTTCGCGTAGAGGAGGATATGTTTCCGTTGCAAACTCTCCCGCGGTCGGTAGATTTTTCCAAATCCGCCGCCAGCGGCGTGGCCTCGCAGGATGAACTTCTCTCTCTTCCATCGCCGCGTCGTGCTGCTATCTAATAGCGGCGACCCTCGGCGGGTTTTGTATTCGCTGCACGGCGCGGCATTTGCATTGAAATTGTTGCACCCGGCGCCGATCCGCGTCTCGCATCGTAATCCGCCCGAGCAAACGGCGAACGCGCTGTGTGCGGAGCGCCGCGACCCGCAAAAACTCGCGGAAAAAAGGGTCAGTCGACGACCACGGGCCGATAGCGAATAATGCAGCGCGCTGAGGGAAGGCCACGGATCGCGAGCGTTAATTCTTGCCACGGGTCCACCGGATATCCGGTGCGCCGGCTAATTAGCATGAGAACTCGACTGAGGAACGTCCTCTAAGGTCGTGAAGGTAAAAGAACCGCATTGTCGAATGCGACAGGTACAGAAAAAAAGAGAAACTCTCTTCTTAAATAAATAACAACAGAGGAGCTGATAGAATGATGGGAGAATTGGCTCTTATTGTCCTACATATTCAGATAAATAGATTGAGAAAATTCAAGTTGATTGAGGCTCAAAAATTGATACTTAAATAACAACAATATGCAGGAGAATAAGAGTCGATAGGACAATAGAAAAATCAGTTTTTATTGTTCTATATATTGTTGTTATTTAGTTATTTAGTTGTTATTAACCTTTCAGTCTCAATCTATGTAAGGTAAACGTCCTAGTGATTGAACGTGTACCGATAATTGAATTACTAATAATATACTTGTGTTTGTTAAGATGCTTATCAATAAATGAAACAAAATCACAAAGTAACTAAATATTTCTTTTCATTTATTATATTGTTTTGTATATTGAAAAGCATTTCAATAAAGAAAAATACAAAACCAATATGTCAATCATTGGGACATGTTCGACCACTGGGACGTTTACCTTATCTGAATTTTCCTCTCGTATAAGTCGGTAGGTTTATGTCATGTGAAAAATATTTCGTCACGTATAAAACGTATGAAGAGTCTTGGAACGTCGGCGACTTTGCATCGTGAAATTTAACAAAGAGAAAGAGATATAGAGACGTTATGAAGTCGTACTTACATTTTCTTTGGTCGACGAGATCTGTCTCTTCGTCCTGCCGTGATACACTCGCGGCCTCACTCGGCTGTGTCTGCTGAAGTCCGAAGACGGACCTGCAACAATTAAAGCAAATCACTTTGAAATATCACATTTACGAGGTCTGGTGTACAATGTGAACGCGAAAAGAACCAGGCTCGACTGGCTCTAGTAGGTAAACGTACTTCGTCGCGCGCCATCATCGCGCGCCTCACACTCGCGTATAAGGTACCTACTAAATTTATAAGTCAAGTGACTCTTACGGAACTACTTGAGTGTTAACAGGTCGACGGTCTAAAAAGAAGAAAGAAAAAGGAGAGAGGGAGAGACTAGCCAGAGCTTACATCGTAATACGAAAGTCTCGTGAAGCTTTTTAGCAAAGCTTCCACATTAATGAATACAGTCGGCCACGAACATGTATCGATCGAGAGAGAGCCGAGGGCGTGCTCTTACATTGTTTTTCAACGCGCGGCATCAATGTTTCCCTGTCCTTTATGCATTCGATTACATGGAAATTAAGTAACGCATTAAAAAGAGCTTGCACACGGCACATGCGGAAAAAGCGCGCCGTATGAAATATTTAACGGCGAAATTGCCGGCGCTAGAAATTATTCAATGATCGTCACTAAGTGATTATCCGATTGTCGACGAGGCATTTCAACGTCGGTTACGCCGGCGGCTCTCTCTCTCTCTCTCTCTCTCTCTCTCTCTCTCTCTCTC